GCGGGTGGCACCCATCCAGCCGCGGGGAGGGAGCCGGACCCCCACCTCGCCTGCTGGCACCGAGCTGCCGACTCTCAGGCGGGAGCAGTGAGAGTGCTTTCCAGTGACCGCTGGAGGGAGAGCGCCACCCCGCTCCCGAGCCGAGGCTCTCTGTTCCCAGGGGACGGGGCAGCTGCAGCCTTCAAATCTGACATGAGGCCTCTGGCAGGCCTGGGAGCCGTCTCCTGCCCTGGGACCAGGAGGGCCCCAAGGACATGGCAAGCCAGGCCGGCTGCGGGAGCAGCTGCCATGTGCTGAGCAGCACAGGGACACATGCCTGGCAGCGTGGTTCTCCCTGGGCACAGGTGGCACCTGCTTATCCAGTGAGACTGGGATGCAGGCTCTTCCTCCCTTCCTGCATTTCTCCCTCTCTTTCGTTTGGATAAACACAGCAGCCAGCACTCACCACGGCACTGCACCCCAGCCCTTTTATTTTCTGTTTTGAAACAAGGTTTCACGATCCTTGTAATCCTCCTGCCTCAGCCTCCCAGCAAGCCGGGGTTCCAGACCTGTCCACCATGCCTGGCACTAAGGCCTCCATCATGGACGCAGTCAGCATCTGCCCTGAGAAGGTCTGGGAGGTCTGTCTGCCAGGCGGCAGGAACCAAAGCTCTCTGCGGTCCTCACCACCTCTGCCATGTGCCTGGCCTTCACAGGGTGTCAGCCTCTCCCTCGCCACCCCCCAGAGCTCTGCCTGTCTCCCCAACACCCAGCAGCCTCCTCCCGGCCTCCGCAGGATTCCTGTCCCTTCCTGGGTCCTGTGTGTCCTGGTCTGTGCCTCCTGCAGGGATTTGTGGAGCCCTGGGGCTGACTTCTGGGTCCCGCGCTCATCAGACTGGCGGAAGGGGAGTCTGGGAGCACCGGGGGACGGTGGCCTGGCCTCACCAGCGCCTGCCGGTAGTCCTGCACTTTGGCCAGGTCCTCAGCGAAGTCCCGCAGGGTGGCCCGCAGCTCGGGGGTCTCAGAGCTGGCGAAGGCGATGAGCTG